TTGTAAGTTTTATAGTGAAGCAAGAAACCAAGAAAGAGTCCAATAGATGGTCTATAAAAAATTTCACAATAAAAGTAAGCATTTTTAAGTGTTATTATGGATGAAAACATTTATTGATTATTTGTTTTTTAAACAAAATAAAATTGTATTCAATGATGATTATTTGAAAGTTTGGTTATTTTGATTTTTACCAAAAAATAAGTGAATGGATGCTACAATAGTTCAAAATTTGCATCATATTCACTATGAAGACTTTATTCACAGAGATTTTCATCCAGGAAATATTTTAATAGGTGCAAATACCAACAATTGACCTGTTAGTTTTAAAAGTTAACTCATTTCAACTACCAATTAATTCATCAAGAGAAAGATTTTTAAGGTCATAATAGTCATAACAACTTCATTTGATTGAATTTCATCCTTCATATCCATTTTCTAAGATTCCTTTTAGAGTCAAATTATCTTCTATCTTACCTTCTTTTGATCACTTTCAAAATAATTCTTTGCTTTCTTCTGAGTTTAATTTGATGAGGTTGATAAAGATATCTCTTTTAGCCTTATTTCTTACCTGTCAATGAACCCCTGATTGCTTATAATAAGGATAATATTGATAAGTATTGAGAACTAAATTCCTGCAAGCTGGTTCAGTAGGATATCATTTACAAAAATTAGACCACTTTTCTTGGTTGCAATAAACTTTCATAATTTCACCAACCACATCTACATCAGATTGTTAGTGTAATGGCTTTCACTTAAAACAGTGGCTATTCATTGTCTAATTTCTTCATCATTCAACTGTTTAAATTGTAAGGGTGCTTTTAATTTTACTACTTCTTTTAATAGTTGTTTATTTCTCTCCCAGAGTTCATTTATTGTGTTTACCATATTTTTTTTTTTATTTTTTTATTTGCTCTTTTAATATACTTATATCCTTTTTATGATGATATATGAATTATTTTAGTACTTTTTTACTTTAAAGTGGGAAAAGCTAATAATATTTGTCAAAAGATTAAGCTTATTAAACTTAATGACAGCAAGGGGACAAATTAAAAAGTGTGATAAAGTAATGAAGGTGAATTTATTTTAAATATTTTATTTGTTGCCAATATAGAATGGCTTTGGACAAGTAATATTTTTGTATTCATCTTTCACAAATGTTCTGGTAAAGATATTCTTGTCTTTTGTAATCCAAAGGTCTGTTAGAATATTCTTCTTGAGCAATAAACACCAAAATTCGACTTATCTCTTGAGCTATGGGTACCAAAATTCGACCTACCTCTTGAGGAATGTGTACCAAAATTCTGCGCTTTCTTGCATCAATGGTACCATATTTTTTTCAGTGGGTTCAATTTTTGGTTAGATTTTGTTATATGTACTTGGATATACTTGCTTCAAAATAGCTCATGTTATTTGCAAAGTATGTTTATATGCACGGAAATGACCTTCAATCCTCTGCTTTGCTTCGGATTTTAGGCCTTAAAAAAGCATATGCTTTGTTTATTTATTTACATGAGTTTCAAGAGGCTCTCGAATTATAATGTAGGACATGACCTCCTACGAAAATGATGATGCATACATAAATTTGTTGTCACTTGAATGATGAGCCATATGCGTTTAACCCACAAGCCCTAAATGGCATACCAAAAAAGGTCTGAGTCATGACAAACTATGCTTTCTCAAATGATGGTGTGTACATAAATCTGTTGTTACTCTAATGATGAGGCATTCATAAATCAGTCATCACTCCAATAACACACCCATGCGTTTGTGCCAGAACCCTCATTTTTGCCCTACTAGAGCAATATTATTAATGCTAAGATTACTAATTAAGAGTGTAATATTTTCCAAGGATGAGAGAAACTGTTATCATTATATATTTAGGTTTTTACCAAAAAAAAAATTTTTTTTAATATTTAGCTGCAGGAAATTTTATTTATTTAGAAGAAAATATAAATAATCCTAAATTAAATTAATCATTAATTTTTTTTTACTAACTTATATACTTCACATTCTTCTAACAGAAAAACTTTTTTATTATTATTTCCAAGATTTAAATTATTTTTATAAGAATGATCATTAGAAAAATAATAACGACAATAAAGTTCACTATTAATACTGTTGTATAATCGTAAATCTTCAAAGTTTATGGTAGCTTCATGAAAATCTATATTATCTGAAGCAAAAATATTAGTTTGGCCATAATGATATATTGCATATTCAGGTATTTCAACCCTACTTAATATTGAATTGCCAAATAATTTTTCATTAATTTTAAAAATAAAACTTTTATCAGTTTCAATCCAATATCCTTCATCTAAAGATTTTTCTTTTCTATTCCAATAAACTGGGTTATAGCCACCCACTAATTCACCTGTTTCTTTTAGTTTCATAAATACTATAGTTTGTTTGATGTTATAACATTTTTGTTCAAAAACTGATTTTGAAGATCCATCTTGAGTGCTTTGAAGAATTAATTCAAAATCATATGGAATATCATTTTCACTATAATAGCCATTACTTTGATCAATCCAACCAGAAACCAGTAATTTCATTTTTGAGTTTAATAATTTTCCTTTCCTATTTCTTGTTCTTGGACCTTTATAATGAAGAAATCTAGGTTGCCATTTATCTGTAAAATAATATTGAAGAATTTCTTCATATATATTTTTATCAAAAATCTTTCTATAAGGTTTGATTTTATCATAGAAATTTTCTTTAGTTATTTCACTGAATCTTATTAATAAAATAATGTCTTCTAATATACTTTTCATCCTCTTGAAATCATTTTTATTCCATTTTGAAATATCTTTTTCTAATGACTTATTTTGTCTTATTCCCCATTGAATGACATAATACCAAATATCAATCTCATCTAATTTCAAATTATCACTTTCCAATATTGATACAAGCATTGGTTTTTCAATTGTTGCAATGTCATTGGATTTTAAAATTGAACCTGGATTTTCACAAATCAATTTATCACAAAAATCTTGAAGTGAACTAAATTGATGTTTTGATGAAACTTTATGAACATAACTAAAATTTTGGTGGAGCCATTCACTTTTTTCATTGATTAAATAATTTTGTAAATCATCAATTAATTCATTAAAGTTTAACTCATCACATGCTTCAATGAGTTCCAGAATTTGGTTTAAATCCAGGCTACCTATATTGAGAATTCCATTGTACATATACCTTTTAAAAATGTAAATATGTAAAAAAAAAAATTTCATTTAATAAATCAATTCTTTATTTATTTTTTATTAATAAGTCAAATCAACTTACATTAAAAGAATTTCAAAAACTCTTGGAGAAATATTTTCTTTTTCAAATAAAATGGTACCATGATCAGAACTTTTAATCCAATTATTGGATAAAGCTGCTCGAAAATACAAAGATCTTGCCTTTAAAATGGTAGAATGAGCTTTAAAAATTCTGACATCTTCCACTCCTCCAACTTTGATTTCTACATCATAATAATCTGAGTTATTTAACAAATTTGAAAAATCAATTACTAGCTTATTAATATAATTTAAAGGTGAAGCATTATTAATGTTAAGGTTTTTAAGCAAGTATGTAATATTTTCCAAGGATGAGAAACTATTATTAGACATTTCAAAGAAAAAAAATTTTTTTAAAAGAATTTAAATATTAACTAACATTAATTGCCAATTTATTTTTTCAATTTATTTATTTGGTGTAATCAATCATTTAGTCTATATATAATATAATACGGGCCGATCAACGTCCTGTGACATTTAAAGATTCCACTTAAAATAGTAAAAGTAATAGAGTAGGAGTGTTGGTGATGGTAAGAGTAGTAGTAAAATCGTTAAATAGTGAATTATTTATATCGGGTAAAGGTTTTGATGGTAAAGAATAAAAAACATATATTTATTATTATGATGATGATTAGGATTAGAAATGTAAACCATATAACAGCCATTTCCATGCTATTCCTCCCTCTACTACTTCACCTTCTTCTATTTTTACTATCAATTAAAATTAATTGACGAAATTCAATTGATGATCTGTCTATGAATCAATGAGTGTTAGTGATGCGCGGGGAAGAAACACTAATCAGTAAGTAACCTTTTATAAGAACATATTCATGTATTTTTATTGCCATTAATAATATAAAGAAAAAAAGTTTTCTCTTTACAATGCGTTGATTTTCGAGCTTTGTATATATTGAAAAAACTAATTTCCGTGTAACACTTGTAAATGATGAATAATAATATTGTGTATGTTTGTAATAAAATATGATACAATTGCTTGCATATTATTATTATTTATTATATTTATTATATTAGTATTAAAGTAGTACTAGTACCTGTGTGTAAAGTACTCACTTTCAGTACTTAAAAATAGGTTTGAATACGTAATTTTTAGTGACTAAAATATGTTTTGACAACGAAAATGCGGTTATATTAATCAATACGTATATAGTAATTGATTTTAATTGGTAATTTATAATATATGTATTCAGTGCCTTGTTCATTAACACCCTTTCACTCTCTTCAAAAGAGCAGGGTTGTGACTGCTCTTATAACTTGTCCACAACAAACTGCTTGACAACTTGTGATAAATTTAAAATCAAAAATTACTCATATTCTCGATTCACCGCATAAAAAAATCATTATCTTTAAAAATATTCTTTCAGATATTGAGGTTTTAATTTTGAGAATGCATACGAACATTGAACAAATAAAAAAAGTAAAAAAGATCACATTTTAAAGATGGCTTTGTACCGAAAAAGTATCAAATTTGAGGTACTAGAAGGAAATTAATGAATAGTAAAATGGTCCTTGTACCATTGTACCAATAAAATTCAGTATTTGTATTGTTTTTGATATAATTTATACTGTTTTAGATATGTTTGGGTAATATTTTTGATGCAATTATTATCTTTGTACCAGCTTTGTACCAGTTGTACCAATGCTAGCGTATGTGTGTTCATGTGTGACTTCGCTTTCTCAACAGAATAAAGAGACCCAAATGAGTAGAAGAGTAATGCTCGATCTCGCAGTCCACAGTAACATTAAGGACTGAGAAAATTCTATTGAATGTGGCTGTCAACATTATGGTTTGAATGTGACTGCTGCAAGCATTATCTATAATTCGGGTTAATAGTGAATTAATTTTAATATTAAATCCAAAAAAGGAAATTCGAACCGAAAAAATGGACTATTACTATTACTATTACTATTACTATCACTCTGGAAATTGTACTTTAAAAATTCGAATTCTCCTTTAGAAATTTTTAGAGTAAATAAAAAACTTTATTACAAATGAAAAAAAATTTTCCGGAAG